TTTGCATTTGGCAGGTTTCCTGTGTCCATCAGCAAAAAGATACTCCAAAATGAGGAAAAGCTTTTCTAGGCATTTTGGTAAGGATTATGAGTCCATTACCAGGCAGATGTAGTTACAAATGTCCTCTTCTTTTCAAGTAGATTATAATGCAAAGAATAAAACTGCCTTCAAACAGAGGGAGATATGTTGCAGCCTGGAACACAGGCGAAGTTTCTGGGGTCCAGTCAGTAAATCTCAGCTATTTGTTGTTTAATGAAACAAAACAACTATTATTTGCTGCCCACGTCATTTTGTTAATCAGTGGTTCTGGGGTACAAGACCATTAATTTCAGTCCAAAGGAGCCACATAGGACTATGTATGGCACAGGCACATTGCTTATTTTCACTAGCAGGAATTGTCAATGTGGCTTTAGAGTCTAACTCTGAGCATCATGATTTAGAACGATCTCATGTCCACAGTGGCTCCTTTCCTCTCCCCTCTTCTTTGCCTTTTTAATAGGCTTAAACAAAATGGCTATCAGTCTCCGACTTCAGTGATTTCTGTCATCAACCATTCAGACATTTTCTTCATTTCTCATCATCATTGTGTGATATCAACCTTGTACAATTCTTGGCCAATGGCCATATTAATTTTCTACTTGAAAGAACACAAATAGAATACTGTTTATGACGAAGGTAGGAGGGGAGCTTGGGGAATAGCTGTTCGTCTTGATGCATAGCAATTAGCTTTGCAAACAGAAACAGTAACATGATTAGATCTGATACCTAGCCAAAGTGCCAAAAGGGGGAACAAATCATTCTGTTGGGGGTACTGAGTGGCTTTTTAAATAGTGGCTACATTTGCCTTTCTGGAAATGGTATGAGCAGTGTGACATCAGAGATCTTCAGTTTCCATGGTGATTATTAGTGATGGCATTTCAAATGTTGTGGTTAGGCTCTACTGTATAATTTCTTGCACTTTACACCATGAGAGAAGGAAGAGAAAGAACTGCTTCATATTAATATTTTTAAAGGAAAGAATGCTGATCATTTTAAGTAGATTTGTTAATCTTAAACGTGTGTTGACAGAAGCTACATGAGTAAGCTGGTGAGAGATACTAAAGCACTTGGATTTAATAGGGACTAATTAATTGCTTAGATATTTAGCAGCAATTAACTGTTATTTTCTGCCTACACATTGTTTTATAAACTGGTTTGTTCTTATACTACTGATTTAGCCACTTTTTACATGTAGGAAAAGGTTATCTTCTTACTCTGAAGCAATTAATCCTGAGTTGAGAAATAGTTTAAGAAGTGAGAAAAATGCATCTTCCTCTGCAGTTAAGAACAATCTCTAGGATGAAGACTGAGTGCCGCCCAGCCCAACATGGACATCCCCCAAGGCAGGCGGCGCCTCGTGCTTCCTCTACCTGCTCTCTTGGCCCTGGGTCCCTTGCACATGGGAGATACCTAATATACTAAGTGATTTTGATGTTGATGAAGCTAAACATTTCATTTTTGCTTTAATTTTCACACTCAGAGTTGATGGCTATCTTTAAAGCACTCAGTTTACTAAGAATTATATGTAGTTAAAAAATAGAATGAATAAGCAAAAGTCTAAGAAAGTGTTTCATTTGATTCTGACAAGGAAGTTTTTAATTTCCTCATGTAGCTGTAAAGTGAATCTTTTTAAAAAGACAAATCAGCTATAAATTTCATGTAAACACCATGCATTCTTTTTTCTATTAAAAAACAAATTGTTTTTTATGTTACCTCAACATATTTTGTTTACAGAGGTATATACTAGTTTTTCTGACTAGTGATTTAAATCAGACCTACTGAGTAGTTAATATTATCTAGAGGCAGACTCAAAGATTACAAATACAAGTTACAGAGAAACTCTGCTGGCAAGATGAAGGAAAGTCATAATAAATCAGAATGTAATTTAAGAACGAATTCTACACAAATGCATTCTTACAGTCACAGTAACCAGAATGATAAATGATCTGTCTCTCCCTTACTCAAGCTACTAGTTATGCCAGAAAAGAATATTAGGCCACCACTGTGTAAGAGTTTCACAAAAGCCTATAGACTGGAACAAGAATGCATATACAAACTGATGATAAGGTCAGGAAAAAAAGTAGATGACAGGTCTGAAAAAAAGAGTAGGACACTTAAGTCACAAAGTACCACCAATTGTGACTGAAGCTAATATGCACCCACAAATCACTGAAAGGATTAAGCCACCTAAGGTAAACTTTATCTTCATTTTTGTCATCAAAAACACAACCCACAATGAGACTGAGATCAGTTACTGATGAAATTAAAGGGCATTCTAATACGGTTTCAGAAAAGAATCTACTTAAAATGTAAATGTAAAACAACTGGTCATGTGGAGAACTGAAAAGAAATTAAGATACTAAGGGGCAGGATTCTAAACCGTCAGAGCTGTAAAAGATAACGTGACCCATTTGTTTTTAGTAAGGAAATAAAGGTCCATGAAGATCAAGTGAAATTATCCAAGATCACAAGAACTACTGTCACTACAGAAATGCAACCTGAACTGTACCCTGCCTAAGTGTCACCACATCTAATGAAGTGCTGTGAGTGAATGCAGTGCACAAACAGAGTGCTAACACAGAGATTTACATTCTAAGGATCAACTTAGGGAGAATAACGGTTTGACTTTTTACAAAACCAATGAAAATGTGCGTGCGCACCCCTACCATCAATGTACTTAAATACACTATGTAAAGTATATGACTGATTGTCTAACCACTAAGCTGTATACCTGAAACTAATATAAAATAAAACTGAAAGTAAACTGTAAAAAAATAAAAAGGTCAAAGGGAAAATGAACAAACATGGAAGAAAAAAACAACATAAAAACATATTGTAAAAATAAACACTTTAAATCTGCCTTCCTTGAAGTTTTGAATAATGGACATCTCAGGTATCTGATTCAGAAATTTAAATAGAACAGTAATATATTACTAAGTTAGAGAAATAAAATGCATCATACACAGAATAAAGGTGCTAGCTTTTTCGTTTGGAGGATGACCAGATCTTGAGACAAAGTCAAGGCCCCCTGTGATTTTCTCAAAATCAAGAGATGGGGGGTTTATAGACTATAGTGACAGGAAGTAGCACTTCCTTCCTCCCACAGAACTCTATTTAGTTCTTCCAGGGCTGTTCTTCTAGCTAGAAATCCAGACCAAAAGAAACCCCTGTACAGAAATCTAGGAGTCTTATTGTAGGAGCTATAAGGAGAAAGGCTCTTCCATGTTATTTTAAAAATTCTACAAGCAGATGATCTGAAATTGAGCTATTATATAGATTATGATAAAAACCCAGAAAGAGTGCAGATGCTGATTTCCATTTCCTGCTCATAAAAAGCAGAACCGGAGGCTTTTATGGGCAACTGAATGTGACCTCAGGCAAGTCAGGGCCCCCTCTGCATGTGTTATTTCTAAAAAGAGAGATATCATGAAGTCAAATGAAATAATGTGGAGAAGTGATAGAATACTGGTGCTCTCAGCTTTAAGACTGACTGGGTTTCCCACAGATACCAGAAAATCACGTGCTTGCATATCAGACTTTAAGGGCACAGGCACGGCCAGGGCCACAGAGAGTATCCTTGCCTTAATGATTGGGAAGACAATGTTCCATCTGGAAGAAAATATGAAAACCCTGCTACTCAAAGTGCAGCCTGAAGACAATCAGCATGGGTACCATGGGTATCATAACTGGTTAGAAATGTTGGCTCTCAGGCCCCATCCAAGACCTAATGAGTAAAAATCTGCATTTTAACAAAATCTCTAGGTGATTCACAAGCACGTTAAAGTGTGAGTACTGTACTGAAAACACTGACAGTGCTCTGCAAAAGAGGCCACTGAAATTTCTGATGATTTCAACCCTGGTATCACCAGGAAAGGCTGACCTCTGGTCAACCACAAATTAAATAGATGAGAGGTAAACATTTATCATCACATATATCAGTACCAATCACATGAGCCTCATTTACTTCATTTAGTTTCCTCTTCTTTAGTGGAATTAAAGATAACAGAGGAAAAAAATTACAAAGCTAGCTACGTTAAGAAGTGCTTTATTAATCTGTCTGGATAATGCCAAAAACCATGGCCAGACTAAATGATTAAGTGAGCCTGGGTCATTACATTTTCATAATCATTAAAAGCTAGGCAAGAGTATTGATTTATTGATGGGCAACACTTACTAATTTTTTAAAAAATAATCTCATTTCAACTTTCATTTTCAGAGAAGAGTATTTTCTTAAAAGAAAATAATCTGCCTTTAGAATGGAGTAGTCTAATAAGAAAACACACACTGGAGGAAAAATAATCTACATTTTGATCATGGCTTTCACCATGTTAGCTTCTTACTGGGAACAGCAAGTTTTGTAAGGATATGGCGTAGGAGTGAGAGGATGCATACATTATTTCTTATTCCACTCATCTAGAATGTCCTTTTCATGCTCCCTAACCCAATTATCTGACATCCTAGATAAGGTATGGAGAACCTACCAAATAAGAAAAGCTGTTCCCCAAGAGCAAAGTCACTGAGAACAATATTTAAGGAACAAGAAACTCTGCCTTTAAACATCTTGTACTGGCAACTGAGATTCTACTTTAATTTTCTGAACAACAATATTGATAATCTCCACATTGGTTTACATTTTTCTTGAATCCATCAAAATTCATTTTCCCAGACAAAGTAACTGGACACAAAGCACAAGAGAGAGGGCTATGATGACTACTGTGACAGACAGTGAGGAAGACAGGACACAGACCATGGGTCTTGCCACTCAAGAGATGAAGTGCTTCTGAATGCTCTGTTCCACCAAACTGCTTATAGGAATTTTCTTTGTGTTTAAGCACAGCTCTTTCACTATTCAGTTCTGTCCAATTTTGAACATGAACAGGCACAGGGGAGGCCTGAGGTAGTTTAATTGCAGTACCAAGTTGAAAATGTGAATGAATCGTGAACTTGCCCTCCCCACTTACCTGATATAACAGCTATTTTCCCAGATCCATGTTCTTCTCTAGCTATTCTTTCTGCTTCCTCCATCAGCAGCATACCAAATCCCTGTAAGGAGCAATAAAGAGGGTTAGAGAATTAAGAAGAAAAGCAGTCATTAAGGGGGATCTGTAAAACAAGAAGGCTAATATTTAGTACTTGATAAAGTCTGTTAAAATAAGTGACAAAAAAACCCCATCTATGAAAGTAAGGAAAGAGAAACCATTCAATTATACCAAAAGTACACTTCAGCAGGCCAGTAAAAAAAAAGGAACAACTTTCCAACAAAAGCCAAATGGTATTTTGTGGATGATGTAATCTACTCACAGCAAGGCGGTAACTGCCTTTCAACTTCTATCTCTTTTTAAGATAGGCAATCTCCAGGTGAGGAAGTCTGGGACATCTAATCTTGTATTTATTAGTCACCTCTTCAATTTCCAAAAGGCTTTGAAACTAGGTAATTCTTTTTTTTTTTTTAATATATCTTTATTGATTTCAGAGAGAGGAAGGGAGAGGGAGAGAGAGAGAAACATCAATGATGAGAGAGTTGTCACTGATTGGCTGCCTCCTGAATGCCCCCTACTGGGGATCGAGCCCACAACCCCAGCTTGTGCCCTGACTGGAAACTGAACCGTGATCTCCTGGATCCTAGGTCCATGCTCAACTGCTGAGCTATGCCCGACCAGCTTTTTTTCTTTTAATTGATGTTACAGAGAGGAAAGGGGAGAGACAGAGAGGGAGAGAGAAACACTGATTTGTTGCTCCACTTATTTATGCATTCAATGGTTGCTTCTTGTATGTGCACTGACCGGGGATAGAATCTACAACCTTGGCTTACTGGGATAATGCTCTAAGCAACTGAGCCACCCAGCCAGGGCTCCGGGCAATATTCTTAGTTTGCCAGTTTTGGGGTCTACGCCATATCCACTAGCGTCTTTAACCCATTTTCCTAGAATGTAAAAACGTGAGCTGTTTATTTAGGTTGCTTGGGTGGGGGGGGGGAGTGGAACTGCGTTCCTCTATGTATCATATAGCTTGCATTTACGAAAGTGCTTTAACACTTCCTAAGTGCTTTCACATTATCATCTCCTTAAATTCCGTAATAGTGAATCATTCAAAACTGCTGGTATTAGACCATTTCTGCTTTTCAAAAACAGCAATTTCATATAGTTCAATCTAATATATTCCACTCGTCTGAGTCTCATTTTGTCTCTTCCTCCTCCCCACTCACCCCCCAAAGCAGGCTATTTGCAGAGAAGACATCTCTGAACAACTAAAATATTGGTTCCTCTGTTTCTACACTTCCCTTTCTCCTTTATTCTTTCTCCATCTCTTCCTCTGCTCCCCTGTCCCCCATTCCTTTTCTCTTTCCCTCCTTTGGGCAGTTTCTTTCTTTTCTTTTTTTTAATTTAAAATATATCTTTATTGATTTCAGAGAGAGGATGGGAGAAAGAGAGAGATAGAAGCATCAATGATGAGAGAGTCATTGATCGCAGGCCCCCGACTGGGGACGGAGCCCGCAACCTGGGCACGTGCCCTGACCAGGAATCAAACTGTGATCTCCTGGATCCTAGGTCGATGCTCAACCGCTGAGCCATGCATGGCCAGGCAGGCAGTTTCTTAATTACAGTCAAATAATTATAGTTAAATAGAAATGAAATACAGGATACCTGATGCTGAAATTTCGTAGGATCCCGACTGTTCACAGGGACTACACTTCCATACACATGCAGCTCTCGGACTATGGAAACACCTCCAACCAATTCAAAACGAAAGGTTTCCTCTGAACACTTTCGTAATCGCAGGAGGCCAATCAAAATGTCCTGATCTGGGTCTTCATATGATAAGAATGTTTCCCAGCCACCATTTGCAACATAATCTCTCCTTACCAATTCAACCTGTTTAATAAAACAAAACAAACAAAAAAAACCCCACATTTAAAAAAAAAATTAGAGAACAAAATTCATTTTTATAATTATATGTACTTACTTAGGCTAATATCCACAATTAGGGATAAAGAATGAATAATCACGAATTATTTCTTTTTACTTGTCTACTCTCAAATATCAATTAAATAAGAGTTCATGAACTATTTTTTTCTCCCCTCAGTGGGCGTCAGGACCAATGACCACTAGCTGCTCAGGTACCAAAAAAGCGTATTTCCCAAATCTCTTGATGTCAATTCCACACGCAGAGCAATCAAGCTGCCCTATGTGTTCCACTCACAACAGAAGCCTTTTCTGATGTTCATGAACTATTATAAAAGAAAAACAATTTTACAGCTTCATAAACATTTGAACTTCATTAACCTTAAAATTCTTACAAACATCTGGCTTAGTAAATGTTTCCATGCAGTTAAATCTCTGATGTTCCATGAAGAGTCTCTAAGGTAAAATCGCACGCTCTGTCATATGCGTAGCTCTTGGGAGAACCCCTGGGCCCCAGAACTGTCAGGTGCTCATTGGTTTCATTTTCTAGTTCTTACCTCCCACACTAAAAACCCATTTTTTGGGGTGTGTGTGTGTGTGTCATGGGTCACTTACTTGTTCCTTGATGGCACCCCAGAGGATGCCTTTAAAATATTATGTCTAGTTATGAGATTAATACATTGAAGAAAATCCAATCACTGGAGGGTGGCTTCTGGGGGAGGCTTTTATGGTAGCAATTTACATGGGCTTTTGATTCAACTCACTGTTCAAGTGGCCCTTGTACTTCGCATAAATATCAGCAACATGTAACAATATGCAGACAGAGAAAAGCTAAGCCTGCATATGTGGGCATGGCCACACTCAGACACATTCCGAAAATGGTCAGATTGTACCCACAGTGAGGTGAACAATTCAGACTAATGCTTATCTTCCTTCTAAACTAACTGTTCGCTAAATAACTGGATTGCACAAGAATCTGGCAAACTGATTAACTGTGCTTGGGTCTACATTTTCCCTCACAAGGTCCCAAATGTGAAAAATGTCAATTAAGCAATTCATTTTGAGAACAGAAATATCAACACAGATCTCATTGATTCTAGCCTTTCCTAATGGGGTTCCACAAGAGCTAAATCCCACAAAAAATTTCACACATAGCTGGACATTGTAGATATACAGGAGAGATGTTACTTCGTTACAAACAATGGACGTCTTCGGGTATCAGGCTTAAGTTTTGTGGAACACTTGCCTGCTGATTTCATTTGATTACCACCAATGGTCAATAATTTAACAGTTGCATACAATGAGATAAGCAGATCACATCCAGCTTTACCTGAATGTAGCCACTAGTCACGTGTGGCTATTTACATTTGAATTAATTAAATAAAATTAAAAACTCAGTTCTTCAGTTGCACAAGCCATCTTTCAACTGCTTAAAAGTCACATGTGACTGTTGGCTGGATGGCACAGATTATAGAATATCTCCAACATGGCAGAAAATTCTATTGAACAGTGCTGGTCTAGAATGAAGTTGAGACTTGGTTTTCCTAACCTGGCTCTTCTAGAATTCAGCCACCCTCATACTTCGCATTCCTGGCTTGACAGCTGTATCTGACCCACAATTACTCTTTGCTTAGTTTACTTGTTAACTTGTAGGGTTCAGTCCCACTGGTAAGAAGGTGTGGGTCTAGGCTTGACAAAAAAGATCTATGAACAGGACCCAATCTCTCTATAAAATGAAGAAACTAACCTGGTATGGCCGTACTTTGTGATGAATTTCTTGAATTCCAACCTCTCTGGTTCTCACATCTCGACACTGGCAAAAACAAACAAACAAACAAACAAAAAAACCCACAAAAAAAAACAAACACAAAAAAAAAAAATGGAGAAGGGGAGCAATTATAAAACTGGTAACTAATTCAATTTTTACTGAAGCCTCACCACCAAACCCTGGGCTCAAAATTAAGTTTGGACATAATTTACATTGAGATAAAAGAACTGCATTTAAATATGAAGCCATCTTTAATAAATCTGAAGATGGGAACCATGGAATGAAAATGTATTAAGTTAGCACGGTACAGCTTTTAAAATAAGTTTAGAATTCAAATAAGATCGATATATAATATTGGAAGTAAAGAACATACATCCTAAAATCTGGTAATAGTTTTATCCAGGAGATATAACTGTATTTGAAAGTGCAATTCAAAACTATGTATATAGAAGAGTAAAAAGCAAATTCCTAATTGTTAAAAACTCTCACCACTTTATGGCAGTTAATATTTTTAGCATCATCATACTTGTATCACTTTAGAAATCTAGTCAAAAAGAGGGAAGTGGAAAACTTTTTTTTTTTTTTTTTGCAGAGAAGGGCACTGTGGAAGAAAGGATGGGAGGGAGGGAGGGAGGAAGGAAAGGAAGAAGAAAAAAAGGGACCTAGACTCATTTACTTTATAATCTGAATCACAGTCACAAATGGCCCTTTGAGTGTCCCTGGGAGGCACAGAGCTGCCTGCAGATGATATGCATGCAATGCCTGGTCTGCATGGCCAAGCATATGTGATGCAACTCTCACTTCTATCCTACATGCTACATGGCCTGACATTTATAATTACAAAATCCTAAAAGTATTCAATTGTATGTCCTATGGCATATTTTCCCTGTAGAATAAACTGTAAAAATTATTTTCAGAAAAGATCACCCTAGGAAATTTGATCATGTCATTCACGCAAGCTAAACTACTAAGTGTATTTATGAAGGACTGCTATAAGTGGATAGAATTCCACAAGAAATATTAAGAGCTCATTTTCAGTTCTATAAAAACAAAGCTATTTCCATGCCCCTGGAACCAGTCCAAAATAACAATGCTTTGCTGATGTGGATTCCATAAAATCAAACAAAAATTGTATAGCAAACAAGGATCACAAGTCTCTGTAACTATAATACTATTACATTTGTAGGCTCTTTTAACTAAAGCAATTCTATATAGTAATTTGCATGTGAACGTACTATATTTACATGCCCTTACTGAATGCCTGCCTGCATGCTTCTTTCTTCTTTTTTGGGGTGGGGGTTGCTTTTTAAAAGACAGAGATTGGTGTGTGCTTATTTTCTGCTTTAGACATTGCCCATATGAACTAGATGTCTTTTGGCTGTAACTGAATTCCAGTTTTTAGACAGGCTATCAAGGTTTGTGAGAGGTACAGGGTTGAAGACAATAGCTGGGTGATGAGGTTATCAGGATAACCAGGCTGGATCAGTCACTTTGGCAGTAGTGTCCTCAGAGAGAGAAGGTGGAGATCAGGGACAGTCAAAGGATGGGAAGCAAAGTGTGCCTACAATCTTGTTTGCTGCTATTAATTACTGCAGATACATGAGCTGTTTTTTAGAACTTAAAATTTTTTAATGTTCTAAATGTTTTTTAGAACACCAAATTTTTTTTGGTGGGGGGGGAGAAGGTAGAATAAGCCAATAATGTTCACAAACTCTCCTCTGCATAAACAATTTTCTGAAAGTTTTGCCCATAATAATTTGGCTAAGGGAATAAAATGTCCTGGGTAAGTCTTCAAACATGATATACGGTCCTCAAAATGATGTCTTTCAAAGTGCAGTCCATGTTTATATTATGCATGAGAACATCTCACAGCTCCATGCCAGACAGACACCACTCCTGGCCTTTTCTCTTGAGCAGCTCTACGAAGGAGTTTCTAGGGCACTGAGTTTCAGAGATTTAAACTGCAGATTCCTCGGCTCTTTGTATTTCAAGGTCAGCAGAAACGAAGTGCTTAGTAAATATCTGTGAAATAACTGACTGAATAGACATGAGGGTGGAGAGGGGCGAGGGGACAGGTGTGTGTGGCAAAGCGCTGTTTGGTAATTATTTCACGCACCCAATCCTTGTTTCTTCAAACAGTGTATTCCCATTAGTCAGGAATCGAACTCTCAATACTTCAAAAGAAAATGTGTTTGTTTTTTTTATAAAGGGAGTTGAACACACAGTTGGCAATCTGAGGTAGAAATAAACCACCAAATTAACAAACCTATACTCTTTTGGAAGGAAACAGAAGGGGTGTGGTAAGGGACGGGATGCAGCCTTTGCAACCACTAGCTTCAACTTCCAACACGCTGAATGCCTTCAATATGGGAAAGCTTTTTGACCAAACTCCTAAGTTCGTGTGAGAATATCAAAGTTTTTCTGCATTTCAGATTACTTTGATCTCAACAGTTACAGTCAGACTCTTACCTGTATTCCAAGGTCTTTCATTCTTGCAAATGCCAGCTCTCTCAAATTACCATGTTCAACTCCTGAGCTGACCAAGGGCATTGGAATATCTCTGTAGGAGAAAAAGATCGGCTGTTGTAAAATATAAATCATTCTCTACAGCAGCACGGTGAGATGATTTTTAAAAGGAAAAAAAAAAGAACAGAAAAAACACAAACCCAAAAATCTACAATGCAGATCAGAAAAGCAGAGGCTGAATATTCTAACCAGGAAGCAAGGTTCAGAACTTCTTTCTCTGTTTTCCCATTTACGAAATTCTGATTTTCACCCACCACTCAGGGTTTTCATGAGAAACACCTGATAAAAATCATTCTATAAGATTATAAAGGTGCAAAGCAGATGTTCAATAACCATTAGTGATGATTTTTAACTGACAAGACATTGGTACTAAACAAAAAAAGAAATAAAACTCTGTTTAGTTTTTTTAAAAAACCAAAATCTAATTTGTTTAGCTGCTGAATGACAAGCAACCAACAGCCTGGCTTAGCCAACAACTGGTCTCAAAGAATATTTTTTTCCCCTAAAATCTAAATTTGAAATGACTCTGCATTAGAAAAATAACGACTGGCCTAAAGATAAGAGGAGATAAAATTTATTTCCTGGTATTAATATAATGTAAAGTGCTAGGCATTAAGGAGACTTTAATCAAAAGTTGAAGTTATGAGTTCCATTTTAGTAGCCCAAACATCTTCTTTCTAGACAAAAATCAGTACCTAAACATAAAGCAGTTTTTAAAAATCTGAAGAACAGGCTCAGCTCATCTGCTTTCTATTCAAAGACAAGTCCCTCATTTGTTTTGTCTAATATCTGGTTGATTTGAAGAAAGATGAAGAATACACCAATTATCTTCTTATTTTTGCTTTTGAATCAACTTGAGTCTTCTTCTCTTTTTACTTACCCCTTCAAATGCTAAGTAAACAAAATTAGCTACTTCATCCATTAATTCTAATAAGATATTTCTCACTCAGAAGTACCAAAAGCCAATCAATTAGCATTAAAAACTTATATAAGTAAGTCTATTGGGCTCTGGAAGTCAGTAGTTTCCATAAGACACTATACGGCAACGATCAGTCAAAATTCTTTAAGGTGACTCACCAGGGAATTCAAGGCAAGAGTAACATAGCCAAAGTTAAAGTCTTCTAAATGCCCCTTTGTACTCTACAAAATTTTATAAATAACTCACAAATACACGCATGTACTTTCACAACTAAATGTAAAATGTAAAACACTGTTAGACATGATATGAAATTAATCTAATAAAACCCATGGTGACCACTGTTAGTGCATACATGACAGACACCTCTGATTCCTGTTATTCATGGCAGTTACACTTTATACAGGTGCCACATACACTGACTCAGCAAACACGGAAGCACTGGGCCTAGGGAAAGTGCAGGGTTAGTTTCCTGCAAGTCTTTAGTCACATTTTCTATAACGGATCAATACATAACCTTGTTTTATTTGTGTTACTGTTTAAAGGCACCTTATTGAACATACAAGTGATTATTAATATTGCTCTTGTGGCCAACAGCACTATAATTCATGCCTCAGTGAAACTTATCTAACCATGTATCTTCTTCATGAGGCACATCACAGCGTTCTAGTGCTTAGGAACACGAGAGAGACAGCACCCTAGCACTATGCCTGGGAGCCATTTTAAAGTGCAAAATCAACAAAAAGCACAAAAATGTAAAAGGTGTGTTATTAAATAGACTGCAAAAAGGACACTATTTACAGTATGCGAGCTGAAACAAGTACACAGCATTGCACCAATTTCCTATTCCTCCCTCATCAACCCTCCAACTACGGGTCTAGCACTTACCAGTGACTCCTGTCTACACCACCTTCCCTGTAATAACCATGGTGATTATCAATTTCTATCATCCCATCTGTATTTATTAGTTGTGCTTGTATTGTAAGGAAGATCTTTCTCTTTTCCCTATTTATTAATTTATTTATGAACTCATGGATTCCTATTTTACTCAATGAGTTGTAATCTGATATTAACACATTATTTTGTTGCTTAAATTAGATTTGGCCAGTGGGCATGAATTCAGGCTGGCTTCTCGCTCCTTGTGACATGTTCCTATCATTTTTTGAATATTTCCTTACTTTCTGGAAACAAGACGTTCCAAGTTGATCTTGTATGTTTGCTGCACCAACCCTGGAATTGGTCATTTTTCCAAGCAGCCCTGATTCCTTTCAGGGAAAGAGAGGAATTTAAAAACCAAGATCTGGGCATTCACTGTGTTCATTACTACTGAGATGTCACTGTCTCTAGATCCTCTCAGTGCACACACTAAGAAATGTGTGTGTGTATATCTACACATACACACACACACATATATATTTATAGTCATATATACACACATAAACCATGCCGTATGGATGCCATAATAAAATCAATGGCAACCACTGTTAGTATTAATTACATAACAGGTATCTACAGTTGTATATATATTTCTATAAAATAAAAAGCCCATGCCTTCATGCTTGATAATCACAATTCTAATCCAGTGCCTGAGTATTCTTTTCAGCTTTCCATCTTTCAATGTTTATAAATCCCTTCAGATAGTAAAAAACCTGGCTCTCTTGTCATTAGTGTATTTACTTATTTGCTAAATCAAATAACTTACTTGTTCAGTGAAACCACTCCCCCAACTATTATAGCTGCCACCTCTACACTCCCTACCCTTACTCTCCATTCCTTCAGATGCCAGGCCTGCTGCTGTAAATGCCTGTGGCACTGCCTCCACAGGTGACGGGATAGGGAGATGGGAAAAGGAAGGGTTATGGGCTCTACAAATATTTCTAATAATGAACCAGTACTTTTATTTTTATTTTTTTAATTGAATTTACTGAGTTGCATTGGTTAGTAAAATTACATAGGTTTTGGATGTACAATTCTATAATACATCATCTATACATTGTATTGTGTGAAGAACCAGTACTTTTAAAAGACACTAAAATTTGCAATGAAAGTAAATTCTCAGGAATAGGTTTTATCATACAGTGTTAAGCAGAACTATATGACAGAAATACAGAATTACCAGCAGGGATGGCTAATAATTTGGGGGCCCAATGCAAAATGAGAACAGAGGGCCTCTTGTTTAAAAATCATTAATAATCTCAAGATAGTGAGAGCAGAGCATCGAGCCAAGTGCAAGGCCCTATGAAACTACATGGGTCGCCTGTCCCTGAAGGTGGATCTAATTACCACAAAGCACAAGTCAGTGAGGACCTGGTAACACAGGGCTTTATGATGATGCTAACAGCTGAAAACTGTCTTTAACTTTATGTCTGTCACTAAGAAAATGCAACACAGTTTTAATGGTCTTTAGCAGTGACATGCCTGGAGTATCATACCAAATAAGAGTTTTTCCTCATTAAAAAATAGAAATGTGGCAATCTCCATTTTCAGTGATAAAGTCCTTTTTCACTGGAAATAAGGGAAGATAATTCTACATATACGGAATATCTGCTATGTGCAAAGCAGTGTGGATTAAGCAATCCGCCATATATAAAGATTAAAAGACACTTATAGTCTTCTGGGACTTCAAAACGCCAGTGAGATTACTGACCATCTGAACTTACTATATCCATCTAGGTAGGAGCTAAAATTATTTTTAGGTTTCTCAATTGGTTTCAATCTAGTTTCACTTTCTTGAAGAGAGATTACATTTGAGAATATTCACTTTTCTATTTCAACAGGCAATATTTCAAGCTTTGTGTTGCTAATATTTGCAATTTGCTCATCAAAAAAACCTTTCAAAGTGATGTCTAGAGCTTTTTTGGTCTGAAGTTTCTCACACTTCATAAGCATGGTTTGGTTGCAAACTGGCATTCCTATTCTAACGCTTTGCAGTGATTTAAATATCACATCAAGGCAGGCAGCTGTCAAACAGCCCGTGGGCAGCAACAGTTTAATCTATCATGTGTCTGGACAGAATCTTACATTTAATCACTGACTGCGCCCTTCAGGCCTGCAGTACAGAATCATCTATTAGGATGCTGCTTCATAAAAACACCCAGTAAGATGTTATTAACTCAACTGTCATCAAGTTAAAAGTGTAAATTAGGTAAGGAAAAAAAATAGAAGGTAGGGTAGGCAAAATGGCCAATTAAAAATATCAAGTTATCTATTAGTAAAATATAGTATTAAAAAAAAAGCCCTGGCCAGCGTGGCTCAGTGGTTAGAGAGTCCGTCTGCATACCAAAGGGTCTCGGGTTCAATTCCTGATCAAGGGCACGTACCTGGGTTGCAGGTTTGATCCCCAGACCCAGTCAGGGTGAGTGCAGGAGGCAACCAATCGATGTGTCTCACACCGATGTCTCTCTCTCTCTCTCTCTCTCTCCCCCCCCTTCCCTTCCACTCTAAGTAACATCGTGTTCTCATCTGAAGTACCTTCCCTTCTACTTTCCTTACTCTGTTCCTCCCTTCTGATACCTGTCTAAAAAATAGTTCCTAAAATCTCCTCCTCGTACACATTTAGATTCACTAATCAACATTAAGTATATAGCCTATAATTGGTAAAAGCTGTCATAGGCAGAAATAAAATGGCCAGATTTTCTAAAGGCACAGAACATAAAGACATATATGATTTTCCTTTATTATGATTCAAAACAAAAATAAATCAACAATAATTATTAAAACTGCCTGGATTAAACACTCTGGGAGAACCATTGCCAATGGTTTCTTTCTAGCAAGACATAACTGACTGCTCCCAAATTAGACTAATTTCCACATTTGCAGAATTGTTTTAAAAGTTTAAAACTGAAGCCAGAAGAAACAATGCAAAGTCAAAACCCTGCAATTCTCTTTCCTCAAATCAGGAGGTTTCTCAGCCACTTAATACTGTTTAAATATCCATCTTTCTCTTGCACAAATTTGTAGATATGAAACTTTTTTTTACCAGAACACAGCTCCAGATTATTAAGTGTTAAGTGTACTATGTGAACATGGACATGGCTTTTTGGTTCCCTAGTCTTATTTGTGCAGGAGAGGAGATAATTCAAAAGGTAAAGATAAAATTCATGAATTTTTTTTTTTTTTTTTTAGCTATTTCAATAAAAAGCACTATCTCCATTCTGATCCAAATGCCACAACTGGCAACTTAGATATAAACAGACAACTGATATAAGAAGAAACACAAATAATCAGTTACATGGGAAAAAAATGTTAATCCTTATGATAACTAGGGAAATGCAAATTAATACCCCTAGGTAAATGAAATTAAAAATATAACCATCCACATCTATAAAGTTGTGGTAAAACCAGTAACTATTTACTCTAAACTGGTATTACCCTTTTGGAAAACCACATCAATATACTTAATGAAAATTAAAACACTCTTTTATACTCTTCTAATTCCAGAAAGTATAATAATAATAAAAGAAGCTTAGGTATTTATTTTATCATGATCTGTTAGAACTTCAATATAAGCAGAAGTTCCATGTACATGAATTTTAGCTCTAGTGGATGCCAGGATGATTAAAAACTTAAAATAATTTTTTAAAAACCTGGAAGCAACCTAAACGTTCAACATTAGGGAACAGTTTACTGCAAAAGACAAATTAAAATGCTAGACTACTATGCTACATTAAAATTGTAACTATGAAGATTATTTTAAGTCTTTAACAAGAAATGCAAACAGCATATTTGCCAATGCATGAAATGTACTGCTGTGTAAAGATGCATTCCAATTATGCAAGGAAATTTTTGGAAAAATAATGTAGGCCTGTTATTAAAACATATATTGAAAGTGACTTTAAAGTAGCTTTATAGAGAAAATATTACTTTGTTCATATAAATATAGCCCTCACTATATGGCTGGAAATTAAGAAAATATAAGGTCTGGATAATTAGTAATATTCTAAAAACTGTTGGAAAAACATATAAAATCACAAAGTAAAAAAGAAGTATATTGGGATTAGTGGACAGTGGTGCACAGCAGGAACACATCACACCATACACCTGAGTACTGCAAAGCCTAGCCTGGAATTTCAGTGATTACCAATAACAAAAAAAAATCAGTATAAAATAAATCTCAATCACTTTTATGCATTATATATGAAGGAAATATATAAATAAAAGTGGGCAGAAAGTAAGTAGAAAAATATAATTAATTTGAATGAATTCTTATGCAGGTGGTCACAGTAATAGTTCAGTAATATTTAATGCAAAACATAAAGTAACATAATATACTTGAAGGCATTTTGCCCATGTTTACAGAAAAACAAATGCTAACTTGAGCGTTAGTCCACAATAAGCTACATTTAAAAACCAGAATTCTAATGGAAACTTGTATAACAATATCACAGCTGTATTAAAAAGAGGAAATATAAAAATAAAGTGAAAAATACATAAAATTTTAATCTTTATATTAAAAAAAATAGAAAATAATCCCATTCAAAGTGAAGTAAATTATCAGTCCCAAAGCACGAAACTCTGACATCACAGCCAGACTCCGGATGACTCTCCACCAAAGGCATTTACTGTGTCAGGAACTGAGTCATCACTATCTTCAAACACACTGTCCTCAAACTCACTGAAGACATTCCTCACTCCATATTTTCAAGGAGATTGAACCTCTTGTTTTACAGCATGTATTCCGTAAGTTCTAATTCAGCCACACATCTGTAAAGTAATCGAGTGGCACTTCAAAATGTTAAGCCTACATTCACCGGCGCCTCTTGTCCCATAGGAGCCCTTTAAGTGATGTACTAAGAGAGAAATAGAAGGCAGAGTTTGGCCTTCTGGAATCAGAGCTGGGGACTGCTGTTGGCTGATTCTCCAGAGAGAGCTGTGACGGGGTCATGATAGGAGAATTGAGTACAGGGAGGTTTCTTTAGTCAGCCTCATGTGTTATCCATAATCATGCCTTTCTCATCATACAGTCTTTTGGTTATATAATGTGCATGTTCTTACTTCTTCCTGTCATGACCTCTTTACAATTTTTCTATAGAGATTGTATTTGTGGCTGTTTTCTTGAAATCCTCTCAGAATAATGTCCCACAGTGATATTTCATAAAGTCTACAAAATTAAGCTTTTAATGTTATAGCAATGCCTCTGTTGCTTTTGACTCACTGATTAGAGCAGTAAGACATTTAGAGCTGACAATGAAGCGGAGAATGCAAATTTTCCATCTGATTGCCTGTGTGATCTGTGTCTTGTTATTTCTGGTAAGAAAACTTTGATGTCTATGGCTGTGAAATTTCTATCCTGTGATATTTGCTGCCATGCTGGGAGGTATTATCTTTTGCTTGCCCTATAGTATAAGTGCCTGACATTAAGCTTTTTGACTGTAGTATGAGTGCCTGACATGAAGTTTTTGATTGCCAAGGCACCCATTTCAGAAGGCACCCACCCTGGATAAACATGCTGCCAGCTGGATGACACAACTACCAGCAAAACACCCAGATGAGGAGCTAGGCTGCCCCCACCTATGAAGTTCACTCTTCCAGAAAGCCCTGCTTAACCTGGATAATTGAACATTAGAGTGACCTATTTCTCCCTTCCTGCACTCTAGTTCCCATTCTTATGCTTTAAATTAGCCAATAAAGAGTGAGCCCATAAAAATCTATACACCCCACCCTAGAATCCTAAAAAAGGCAGAGCTCCAGGTCTGTGCTCCCCCTCATGGCCCCAAACTTGCTGTGCCCCTCGGGCTTGCTGAGTACCCTCAAAGACCTGCGAGTAATAAATCTTGTTCCTCAAAGTTCCCTCACATTTTGGTGAAGTGCATCCTGCAGCCATAATAGGAAGCATAATAAGGGCTGGTCCAGCCACTAGATTGCTCCCCTACCCCCCACTGTGGGGTAAATGTGCAGGCTCACCAAAAGTAATCAGACCGAATAAGTGCCTCCGGCATTCCTAGCTGACAGCATCACCATCAGTAGGTTGAGACCCACAGAACAGTGATACCGCCATATTCTGTTGCTGGGAAGCAGTATCTTCACTGTTCTCTGGTTGCCTAGGTCAGTTAAATGCAAATAACTTTTTCTTCTGTCTCTGCTAATAATACTGCATCTTTGTTTTCTACTGTATTAATTTAAATTTCTTGAAATAACCTCAAAGTTACAGAAAAAGTCCCAAATGTAGTACGAATAACTATTTTCCTTGTCTATTTGAAAGTAAACTGGAAACAAGATGTCCCAACACCCCCAGAATACTTTCAGTATTTCCTACAACAAGGATATTCTTACATAACCATAATATGATCATCAAAACCAGGAAATTAACACTGACATTTCACTACTGTGTAATCCTAGACTCCATTCTAGCTTCACCAGTGTCTCAATGTCCTTTATAGCAAAAGGATCCAGTGAGAACCTTGTATTGTATTTAGCTGTCATGTCTTCTTCAAAATGGAACTCTTTCCTTGATCTCCCTACTTCTGAAGATTACAGGCAACTTATGTTCTTAGAAAGTTCCTCAGTTTGTCTGGTGTTTCCTCATGAATAGATTCAGATTATGGAGTTCTGGCTGAGTAACACAGAAGTGATATCAGGGGGCACACAACCATGATTTGTACTATTACTAATCATATTCACACTGATGAGCTGCCAGGCTTCTCCATGGTCAAGTTACTCTTTTCCACTTTGTAATTAATAAATACATTGTGGGAGGTACTTTGAAACAACATATAGTCAATTCTCATTATTCCCAGTGTTATGTTCTACAAAGTTGCCATGAACATTTAATTAGTGACTATCATAACATTGCTCCTAGAGGAAATACAGGGTTATGTTCCTATGAGCCTCTGCTTGCAACATTTTCATCAACTGATCAACACATTATTTGTTTTACATGTGTTTCTGTGTAAGAACACCATATATATGTATTGTTGATTCATTAACATTGAACTTGGGGCCAATGGTGCTATAACTCATGGCTGAATGAAGCTTACCTAACACATGTATTTTCTTCATAAGGCACATCACAGCCTGCCTGCACTTAGGAATGCTACACAACACTTCATTACTACACTTGGGGCCATTTTAAACAGGTAAATCACCAACAAACAGCACGAAAATGCAAAAAATGTGGGCATTAAATAGACTGAAGAGGACACACACACACTCTCTCCTATTCCAAACACCATGTAGTACATTCTAATTTTCTCCTTTTTCACATCTGTAATTCCCTTTCCAGATAACAAAAAGCCTAGCTCCCCTTATACTTAATATTATCTGTGTATTAGGTCGTACCTATTAGATCAACCTTCTGCAAGTGACCAGTCTTTTGCTGCTGTCCCCTTCCCTGCACCCTCCCAGAGACACCCCCTCACCGCGCTTGGCTCTGACATCCTGTCAGATCAGCCCCTTGCGAGGACGCCCACTTTACCACATTCAGGCTGCAGCAGCCTGCCCCCCGCCACTGTCTCCTCCACAAGAACACACTTCTTTCTCACCCTGCTCTGGCCTTGCAGCTCCCTGTTCCTCCAAGTGAGATGCCTGCATTGTTCAGCACCACCTAATATCTGCCAAGAATGATCATTGCTACTCTTTGTCTTCAGAGGCTCTAGAACAGGGATAAGACACATGGCCACCGTTCCACCTCCCACACTTACTTCTGTACCTAACTGAAGTAGACCTGGAAAAGGAAATCCTGATCTAGATCATACGTCCTGGAACCAGGCACTGTGCCTATTTGTTACCTTCACAACCCCACCTCCTGGCTCATGAAAGAAGGGAAAGGGAAACGTGAACAAATACGATTCTGACAAAGTGGCTTGGACATGGTGTCCTTTCATTTCCGTCCTCTATCTACAGATAGCATTCTAGACGTCCCTTTTTTAATTTAAAAAAAGTCAAACCCCTCAATATGAAATCAGTCTATTTGCATTAGAAATTGTGAACAGACAGAGCAGTCACTGATTCCTTCTGGCATAAAAGATAACACACTACCTCTGCACTCGGTACACTCGCGTCCATGGAGGCACAAGGGCAAGGATCCGAGCCACCAATTCGATCAGGTCACTAGGGGAATAACTCTTATATCTTCCTGACTTCCACAGCTCATAAAGCCCAGTTCCACGAATCACCAGGGTAGGGTAAAGTTTTAAACCATCAGGACGAAAAGCAGGGTTCTCAAAAAACTCCTGTGAATAGAGGGCAGAAAGTTACTTCTTTAGCTATGTAGAAACTGTACATGCAAGTTTCAAATCTGGGCCAGCTTCTCCCACGTACCTACCTGGTCCTCAGAACGCCTTTCCTTTCGACCAAGGGAGGGGACGCAAACAGAACCAAAATTCATTGTTTTTATAGCCCCACTGGGGCTGGATTCCAAAGCCCTCATTACAGCCCTCGTCCGTTGCTGCAGTTCACCGCACGCCACTCTCACCACCTTGCCTTTCTGCCTCTGCAAAGGCAATTTCCTTTCCCTGGAAAGTTCATCAATTTTTCTTCATCTAGCTAATCTTCAGGCCTCAGCTTAAATGTCAGTTCTTCAGAGAGGCCTTCGGGCCTTCAAATATAAACTGCCTGACTTAAAAAAATACTATTGAGTTCTGTATTACCACTTTCTTAACATCACCCTACTGACAACCCATCCAGCGCCTATCTTCACCTCTAGACTGTATCCTCTTTTAACAATAAAATACAGTGTCGAAACTTTTAAAGAACTGTGACAGAGATCATCACCTGGCCTGCAAAACCTAAAATGTTTACTATATGGCCCTATGCAGAGAGTGTACCAATCCCTGGATATGACTGTTTTGTCTTCAGGCCAACTGGCACCATTCCTAATCTGGGATACGCGCTCCATCTGTTATATGGACACTGAGCAATACATCTAATTCATCTACTTTGACAAAGTCATTTCCTGTACTATATCATCCCAGCTGGCTGCCTTATTTCTTTATTTGGGATATAATAGGAAGACATAAGGCATTCTCCTTCCCACAACTCTGCACTGCTAATTTGTTCTTATCTTGATTTTGCATGATATATGGTGGAGGAATGAAGGTGGCCTCATATAGTTCCCTTCACCCCACCCTGGCATTAGCATCTATTCAGCCAGCAGTACCATATCTTCTGAACTGTAAAAATGCTTTTTATCTTGTACCATGCTATTCTTGCAGAGCTATCCATTATTTAACTTGCTTCACAAAGAAATGTAACTGCTGAGTGGCCGGGTGCGGCTCAGCAGTTGAGCATCAACCTATAGTGGTTGGATTCCTGGTCAGGGCACCATGCCCGGGTTGCAGGCTCGATCCCCAGTGAGGGGAGTGCAGGAGGCAGCCAATCAATGACTCTCGTATCATTGATGTTTCTATCTCTCTCTCTCCCTTCCTCTCTCTGAAATCAATAAAGACATATTTTTAAAGAAAATAATAAAAAATATGTATATATAAACCTAGAAGAACAGAGACCACCAGAGGAGCCAGGAGGGGAACAGATGAGAGCAATGAATTTTTGAAAGATGGAAAATGGATAGAAGATTGGTAAATGAAGCTGCAAGTGTAGAAAACTGCAAATGGAGTATCTGTAAAGGGGGCAGATATCAATGAAAGGCCAGCTCAGTCACACCAGAGTCCCACAAAGGTTCATGGATCACAAGTACCAGGAACTGGGCAGGATGGAGAGAGCACTGGATCAAAGGGATTTATTCCTTATCACCTTCCTACAGACAGTCACCTGCCTGTTTTTTCACTGGAGAAACTGGAAAGCTGCTGGACTCTGAGATTCCAGGAACAAAGGCAGGCCTGGGCGAGGACCAAGAGTGAAACAGGGAGATTAAGTGAAGCCCAGCACACTGACTGGCGCACTGCTGCCTGCAATTTTCTGTGATGTACGCATACCACCCACCCCTAAGCAGGAAGTTGGAGAGTTCATCTCCGGATCAATTAAATGACCCTAAAAAAGAGTTCAAGATACTGACATTTGGGAATTCCCTAAAGACAGGAGAGCACATTGCATGAACATCCTTCAGAGAGGCATACTAGCAGCTAGCCACACGGAGCTTGCAATCTGGTTTTTAAGCCCCTCACTTAGAAGTACGACCATTTGGTTAAGGATCACTAGAAACTGGAAGAAAGCCTAGAACATAAAAAGCAGACCAAAACAAAAAGAAAAAAAGGACTTGGAGGGAAAGCAAGGCATTGCATAAAGGAAAATAAAACTTAAGAAAACAACTATAATTAATTCCATCAGAGAGATAAGAAAATACGTATTAATTCATAAAACAAGAACAAGATTAACTAGAGAAAATCAAACAGCCAGAATATAAAAAAGTTCTTAGAATTAAAACTATAACAAAAATAAAAACATTTAAGAGAAAGGTAAAGGTGAGAAAATAATAAGAAAGCAAAAAAAGGGGGGGGGCAGATAAAACTAGAAAAGAATTTTATGTGATCAATCTGGGAGATCCAACATTTGCTTAATAGGTTTTAGAAAGAGAACATAAAAAAATGAAAGGGAGGTATTATCCTGTAGAGTCAGCCCTCGTATCCGAGGATTCTGCATTCGCAGACTGAAAATATTCAGGGGAGAGAAAAATTATGTTGTTACTGTGTAGTTAAGCCTACAATGGCTGCATCTGTACGGAACACATACAGACTTTTTTCTTGTCATTATTCCCTAAACAATACAATTTAACAACAATTTCCATAACATTTAAACTGTATTAGGTCTCATGCGTAATCTAGAGATGATTTAAAATATATGGGAGGATGTGTGTATGTTACATACAAATACCACACCATTTTACGTAAAGGACTTGTGCATCTGCGAATTTTGTTATCCAGGGGAGTTCCTTGAACCAATCCTCCAAGAGTACCAAGGGACCACTGTAGTACAAAGAAATTTCCCAGGTGACAGGGTAATCCTTTAATGTCTAGCACAATTAATTTAAAAACTCTTGCCCAGATATACCACTGTGAAATTGCACTACATATGGGATAAAATAACCACGTGAAAAAAAGCAAAACAGGTTATATACATTATAGAATTAAAAAATAAGGCATACAAGATTAAGAACAATATTGTGGTTTTAAAAAGAAACACAGGTTTGTTGGCTATTTGAATATTCTGTGAAGTACCAGTTCAAGTTTCTTTGCCCATTCTCCTACTGAGCTGTCTGCTTTTTCTTTTTTTTAATATATCTTTATTGATTTCAGAGAAAGGAAAGGAGAGGGAGAGAGAGATAGAAACATCAGTGATGGGAGTCATTGATCGGCTGCTTCCTGAACACCCCTGACTGGGGATAGAGACCACAACGGGGGCATGTGCTCTGATCGGAAATCGAACCCCGATCGCCTGGATCCTAGGTCGATGCTCAACTGCTGAGCCACACCCGGCCGGGTTGTCTGCTTTTTCTAATTGATTTGTAGAATTTATTTATTTTAAAGCAATTTATAAGTTAATTTTGCAGAGAATTTTTCTTTAGAGAGAAATCAGATTTCTCATTTTTGCCCTCTTTCGTCACTCATTTGCTAGGATGTAGTTAGAGAAGCCGTATGGCCTGCAGATATTCCCTGTGGGTTTCTCTTAAAAGATTAGGAACAAGCATATAAATCTATTTTCATAAAGGGTTATCTTTGCAATATGATTATTGAACTATTCCTTACAGTAGTCCCCCCTTATCTGTGGTTTCACTTTCCATGGTTTCAGTTACCCACGGTCTAAAATTTTAATGGTCTTAAATTATTAAATGGAAAATTCCACAAAACAATTCAATAAACAATTAGTAAGTTTTAAACTGCTTGCTGCTCTGAGTCGTGTGATGCTATCTCTCCCCCAGACATGACTCATCCCTTGCCCAGTATATCCACTGTATATGCTACACTCCCATTAGTCACTTAGTGGCCATCTCAGTTATCAGATCAACTGATTACTGATTGTGTATTGCAGGGCTTGTGTTCAAGTCCCTTATTTTACTTAATAATGGCCCCAAAGTGCAAAAGTAGGAGGAACTCCTACTGGACAACAACTGCAGCTTAATGCTAGCAATTAGGATGTGCCAAGAAGTCGTAAAGTGCTTCCTTTATATGAAAAGGTGAAAGTTCTCGACTTACAGAAAGAAAAATAATCATATGCTGAGGTTGCTAAGATCTATTGTAAGAATGAATCTTTTATCCGTGAAATCGTAAAGAAGTAAAAAGAAATCTGTGCTAGTTTTGCTGTTACACCTCATACTGCAAAAGTTATGGCCAAGATGTGTAATAAGTGCTTAGTTAAGAAGGAAAAGGCAGTAAATTTGTGGGTAGAAGATATAAACAGAACGACAGCAATGTGTTGTGCCAGAAAGCACTGAGTCTATAACGAAGGCTCCCGCAAGGGATCCCTTAAAATGAATGACTGCAGCCCTGGCTGGTGTGGCTCAGCTGGTTAGGGCATCATCCTGTGCACAGAAGGGTTGTGGGTTTGATTTCCTGACAGGGTGAGTACAGGAGGCAACCGATCAATGTTTCTCTCTCACATCAATGTTTCTCTCTCTCCGCCACCCTCCCTTTCTCTCTCTCTCTCGAATCAATGGAAAACATATCCTTGGGTGGGGATTAAAAAAAAATGAGTGACTACATTCACATAACTTTTATTACAGCATATTGCTATAATGATTCTATTTTATAATTATTGTTAATCTCTTACTGTGCTTAACTTAGAAATTAAACTTTATCATAGGTATGTATGTGTAGGAAAAAACATAGTATATATAGGGTTCAGCACTGTCTGCGGTCTTGAAGCATATCTTCCATGGATAAGGGGGGACTACTGTATTTTGAAAACACTAAGGAAAGTGAACACTGAGCCTCAGCTATTTGCTATTACTTGAAACATGACATAGTTTTTCCAAAGGCATTGAAAGTTATGAATGGGGCTATACCACTGGTTCACCTACGAACTATGTTAGAGAAAAGTGTGTTTCAGGCGCCTTGGAGTCTGAGTTCCTGGCTAATTACTACTGAGGGGAAATCAGCCTCAAAATCTATTACACAGCCAATATGGGGGAATCAGTAACAGGGATTATATAGGTAATTTACTGGCTTAAAAATAATAAAACTTTTTATAAGAATTATTAACTTCACAAATAACGCATTGTAAATTCCATCTTTTATAAACAAAGCAAAATAAAAATATTTCTGTGGATGAAATAACTTGAAAATATTTATCATCATCTTCTCTAAAAGGATATCCCTAAAACACATTCCCTGTCTGAGAATCTGAAGAAAAGTTTTGACCAATCTCGTTTTCCAAGACAAAGCTAACATGGATTAAGTTAACATTTGATAGAGTAAAAAGAAAAACAAACAAAAAACAAACCCCAGAATTAGGTAGTAAAATTCAAAGAACAGAAAGAGTAGAAGTTAGAGTATTTTCTTTCACTGATTAATTAATGAACTTTGGAAGAGAAAGGCAGTTCTAAGCTTAGAAGTACCTGAAGAAATCAGCAAGCAAGCAAGCAAAAGATCTGAAAACAGGAGCAAAGTGAAAGGCCAAAGATAGGAAGGGGAAAATATGTGTAACAAATATAGAAGAATAAATCCATAACTTCCTTACCTAGGTGTTCATGTAAATTAATATTAAAAAAATTCATATCCAATAGAATAATTGGTCAGAGGACAAAACCACAATTCCGAATAGATGGATTTTAATTATTAAATATAAATAGGAAAAATATATTACTATTATAAAATGCAAGTTGAAATGGCACTTTTATCCAACCAATTAGCAAATATAAAAATATGTATACATATAGAAAATACTTAAACAGGAGAGAATTATTTGGGGGCAAAGATAACCTGGCTGAAATGAGTGTAAATTGTTACAACCTTCTGAAAAGCAAGTAAGTAATATGATGAGATCCTTAAAGTATTTATACTTTCACCTGATAATTCTACTCTGGAGAATTTATCCTAAAGAAATAATCCTGAATACCACAAAAAGTTATAGACATAAAATTGTTTACCTGAAGTGCTATTTACAATATCAAAAACTGGTAATATCTTCAATTTAAAAATATTTGGATGTGATTAAGCAAAGTATGGCATATTAAATCAATGGAAATTAAGCAGTTATTTGTATATGTTAACATTTTAAATGAGACCAGGCTAATAACATGGATAAATGCCTGTTATAATGGTAAGTGAAAAAGCTATTAAAATAATTACCTATCATACATATAACTGTGTCTGTGTGTACATTATATATAAACTACCTCACCACCCCAAAAAACCTAAGCATAACTAAATCCTAAAAGGGAATAAATTAAAATGTTAGGGTTTTATTTGGTGTTGGGCTGTGAGTGACTCCTCTTCCTCTACTGCTTCCACTCCTCTATAATGAGAATGAGTTGTTCTAATAATGGGAAAAACAATCAACAGTCAATAATCAAAAAGAGCGGAGAGGGTCGAACAGCGTGCAGAGGGACCCTAAATTAGCTGGTTTAAGCTGACACTTACAGTAAACTGTTCGATGTCTCTCTCGAGCCCCACGTTTGGCAGATCAGGCATCATATGAGCCACAACTTTGAAACCAGAATCTTTGGCCAGGTGAAACGACTCACATACTGCCTTCACAGTGTGGCCCCTGAGGCGAGAAAATCCACATGTTACACAAATAAATGGGAAACAAGGTTAACACAAGGAACAGAAGAGAAAGAATCTCAAATACATAATGAATAATAATATGGTTGGGGGAGGAAAATCTCAGAAAGTCATTTTTCCATCTCTACCTCTGAGAAAGTCTGAAAGTAAATCATTTTTATTTCTTTTATTTCATTATTGATTTGAGTGAGGGGGAGAGAGAGGAAGGGAGGGAAAGGCTGTTTATGACAAGACTAGGAAGAGAGATAATAAGCATATGTACAGGCAACTGGAAAGGGCCAGTAGAGAAAGCCCGAAAGTCAAGGAGAGGGGTGGAATTAAGAGCATAGAGAGAAGAATGACTCTAAAAGGAGCAATACCTATACCTCTTTCTTTAAGAATGGCAGGAAGGAGGGAAAAATGAGTATGAACATAGATATAGTTGGTGGGAGCAGAGGAAGGCTTGTGAAGGATCATCTGCCACCATATCTTACCTGTTGGTATCTCTGGCCACATCTTCGTAGACACTCTGCACCCCAATCTCCAACCTTGTACAGCCATAGGTCAACATGTCACTTAAATGCCGCTTCATGCAATAATCAGGTCTGGTCTCAATAGTAATTCCAATACACTTTGTGAGGCTCCTCTCAGAATACCTGTGGAACAAATCTAAAAGTAAACAACCTGTCACAGCTTTAGGACATTTCCTCCCATTTAAAGGGTGTCTTCTCGGTTCTCCCAGTATAAGACAGTGGTTAAGAGCATGGGCTTTGGAGTCAGACTGACTGGATTCAAATCCTGGCTCTGCTACTTCCCAACTTTGCAAACAGGAATGCTACTAACCTCTCTGTGCTTCAGTTTTGTTGCCTGCAAAATGAGGTAACAGTGCCTACGCCTCATAGAACTGACATGACTGAACCAGCACACGGCAATGTAATCATCATCATCATCATCCTTCTGCAGTATGCTACAACCATAATCTCTTCGAAAGCAGTGATTTTACGTGTCAAAATCCTACTTTTCAGTTCCTAGCAACAATTTTTCATAAGTGAAAACCACCTATATTATTTATTTCCTATTCTATATTTTTGTCATGTTAAATTAAAGAAAGGGGAGGTATGTATAATGATCATAGGAATAATTTAGGTGAAATATCTTCTACATACCAAAAAAGTCTTTCTGCCAAGCCAATTAATCTTAGCAGTGATTTACAAAATTACGAGTCTTCTTTTCTCTTTTGCTAAAATCACATATCATAGTAGTAAGTACCACTTTAGATTCAAGATGTTTGAGTTAATTAACTTAATGCTGGCCAAAAACCCAGATAAGTAAAAATGACTTGCTAAGTGGGCTGCTGATGTGAGGGGAGAGGAAGTAATATTTAAAGGCCACTGTGGCCAAGCACAGTGCTATATACTCTATATATACCGAATGCTCCTATCAGCTCTATGAAGTTTGTCTTATTATCTCTATTTTATGGACGAAGAAACTGAAATTCAATGGGATTAAATACTTTGTTCAAGGGTACAGAGCTCATAAAATCCAGGTGAGGATTAAAAAAACAAAAACAAAAACAAACAAAAACCAAAAAGCAGAAAAGGGAGTATATTTAATTAAGTAAATGAGAATATCTTACAATCAGACATTTGAAAACCGTATCATGAACCTTCCTATTAATCGATATTTTTATAAAGCCTACAGTATTCCTGAAAGGATGCCGTTAAGTTAGCAAGCTCAGCAGCACAAGAATGCCTGCACATTGGGCAGGCAATCGTGCAAACAGGAAGCTGTCCAGCAGAAAGAGCAAATTCGCTAGCTAATCTTTCTATTGCACAGCTCGTCAAAGGCCCAGCCACGACATAGAGGAAGCTGCTGCAAGAATGATAAGGTCTCTTCATAAGCAGAGAGAATATAGTACAGAATATAGAGGCAAATCTTATCCTCAAACAGTAATTTAACTCTATTTCAAAATATGTCTTTCTTCTGAGGGAAATATCACGACCTTTTGCAGGAGCAGAAATGGAGAAATAAAAAATATTTCAAGTTTTAAAAAGCCCAAATTTTATTTATAAAATGCTTTTACCACTATATTCTTTTCAGAATTGTATTTTCATTTGAAAAGCAATAAGCAGAAATTCTTATCAAATTTGAACATGAAAAACAATGGAGTATTTTCCTAAAAAACAAAGTATAAGGTCATCTTTCCTGTAAGGTCGGTATATTTTTATCAGAATTTTTGTTAGTGTTACATTTAGTCCTACATATCACTGAATCTGCCTTTTCATTTATCAGAGATGCAGAGATATCAACATGACTGTTTGTTAATATGCAAACGTGCATACAGGTTTTCGACTTATCTAAGTAAAATATTTGAGCTGACATTTTATGGCCTACTATAATCCTCAATATCATTTAGACAGTCACTAACAGTATGGCTATCCTTTAGGACCTAGTTCCTGTCCCATATCTTCCCGGGGCCACAGACGTCTTAAGTTCTTGGAAATGTGCCAAGTATTTCCCAGCCCTGACCATAAGCTTCTAAGAGGCAAAGTAAGGACTTGTACCCTGGTCTTCTGATTGTAATTTTACTGTTCTTTTTGGGGTAGTACAGGGTCTTAAAAGCCTCTACCCCACCAGTGTGGGGCTATGTCGAATCCTACACTTTCCTATATGCCATAGGAGGGTCACCAACTATAAAAGATGCTAATGTTCTCTGCAAAACATAACTGAAGCCAATAACTTATGTTGACAACATTTTACACAACGGGGTGGTGGGGATTAGACAATAACCTGGAAATTGAAAAGCAGACGAAAATCAAATGCTACCCAACCTTCAAGACAGCTCAAATACATTTCTCCTCCCATGACACCTTCCCACCACCTCTCAGGAACAACTCTGTGCCCCATTCTCAAAGCATTTTGTCCATACTATAAATACAGTTTGCCTTGTTATTTGTGGATATGCCTGTCTCTCCATTTTGACAGGAAGCTCCTGGAAGGCAGTATCAGATTGAACACATTTAAAGATAACTGCTTAAAGGCTTCAGCACTAAAAACACTCCTTCAATATAAAAAAAAAACCAAAAAACAAATATGAAGACTGAACATATGATGTAGGCATAACTGAGGACAAAGGAGGCCTCTCTTCACTTCCAGGGCAGCCTCTAGATAATTCCACTGCTTACCTTTCATCTTGCAAACAATCAACCCTAGAAGAAGCCTACTAGCACTAGGTCAGGTATCCTACAGGAAGTAAAAATATAGCAGTTCTTGTCCCAGACATGCTTAACAATCTAGCTGCAGGGATAGGGCATGCAAATAAAACCAAGGTCCACTTAAGAACAAAGCCAGAAGTGGCAGAAATAAAAATAGATATAGATGATTTCTTGGGAGGCATACTTCTATTTCGGAAAGGAAAAAAGTGGCCTCTAAAAGTGATTTTACTGTTTCCTTGCTCTAAGGGACAGTGAAGAAATGCAGCACACCGATGTTAGTCTCTTTATAATAGTCTGGAAACTGTTATTTGATTCACTCAAGGCTGTGGCATCAAAGAACACTTCTCATTACTATTGATATGCTGCAGTCCTCTTTAAAGAAGTCGGATGTGCCTTAGTCCAGCCCTGTGTGAAATCTCACTGGAGCTCCAGGTCCAAATTCCTGAAAGGCTTATGGAAAGTTTCCTACACGGACATCTCTCTACCTCAAACTCAATCTGCTCAGACCAAATTGCAAAGTAGATGATAATGGTAAATGTTATTTACCATTATTAAATAATAAAAAATTTTGAGTAAATAATAAAATTAAAATAGGTAATAGGTGAAATATTATTTTCATTAGTCACAATGTACAAACTCTTCTCTGCATCTACAGTCCCAAAATGAGTAAGCAGATTTTATAAACTTCTTTGGATAGCCAAAGATTTGTTTGAACTGCTAAAAAACGTCTGGGGTATTGATGTAATTCCTAAGAAGTAGCACCACAGAACACTTTTTTCCCCTATAATCGTATCTGGAAACTATCTCAAAATTTTATGTTCTAGACAATGCTGTGCTAGTGATATTCTAGACTTAAGGATGATTGAGCTAAATGTTTGGTGTGTTTGAGGATTAAAAGATATTTATTCCCCCCATCTATTTTTTTGATGGTGGTCAATTTTGCTTCCTGGATATAATAGGGTTCTGCCCAACACAAAATGTAGAAACAGAGAGAAACAGAATTTTGATTTTTAAATGAGTACTACCTATGAAAAACTAAACTGGTGACACTGTAGCTTAGAGACTAATTAGAGACCCTTGTTCCCTCTTTCATGCTAGTTGACAAGGTTTAACATGTATGAAAATCAAGCCATAACATTCTGAGTTTTGATTCTTTCAATAGCTGACAAGAATGCTACAATTTTATACTCCTAAAGACAGCTAAAGAATCACAGTCATTACACATTCTTTTAATATTATATTCACATTCAAATGTAAGGGCTATATATACAAACATATTATAGAAATTTTTCACTGTCAGAAAGTTACTGCTAGATGAAGAATAACTTGTGAACTCATATTTTAGATAAAAATTCTCATTCCAATACAAATCTTCAAACCACAGAATGTCAGAGAAAGAAATAATTTTAGAGATAACCTAGTTCCACTTCCCCACTTTTACAGATGGAGAAACAAGCACAGAATAAATAAGTGGCTTAAGCCTGGTCATAATATAAGTTAGTAAGAGAAATAAGTGTGGAACCTAAGTCTCCTAATTCTTAAAGCACAGTTCTTCCCACTGCATTCATTTAACCTGTACTAACCACCTTCTGTCCTTAAGGCACTGTACTAGATATAAAGGATATTCTCTCTTAAAAAGACATTTCCTTAAAGAATGTAGAAAAAAGTATTATACAAAATTAGGCAATAGCAGTATTCACTAAAACTATTATTCTTGGCTATTGAAAACCAAAGGGAGGGGTGATTAAACTGGTAGATGAAAATGCAATTGTATCGATAATAATAGTAAATGTTAACAGATAATTAAAAGGCAGACATTGTAAAAATGGATTAAAACAACAACAAGACCCTTCTACTATAGATGCTGCCTGCAAGAAACCCACTCAATAGAGGGACACGTATGGGTGGGAGTATATGGATGGAAAAAGATAATACACTGGGAAAACAGTAAGCACATGAATGCTGTAATAGCGAACTTAACATCAAATAAAGGAAACTTCAGGGATAAAGGACATTTCATAATGATAGAAAGGTAATTTCATAGTGATATAAAGTTCATACATCAGGAAAACAGCAATCATAAATGAATATGCACCTAAAAACAGATCTTCAAAATAAATTTCATAATATAACCAAAGAAAAAGTGGACAATTCTTCAACCATGGTTGAATATTTAATATCCCTCTGTTAGCAACTGATAAAACTAGAAAGAGGGGGAAAAACACCCAAAGATAATCTGAACAATATGGTCAATCACATTGATTTAATTGATACTTATAGACCGTTACATCCAACAACTGCAGAATACACATTCTTGCAAATACACATATAGTATGTTTACCAAGAGACACCATTTTGTGCCAGGCCGCAAAATAAATCTTAATAAAAAAAAACAACTTAAAAAACCCTGAAATCATACAGAATAGACCCTCTCTGACCAA